TTCTGGCAGAAGCTTCATCTTGATCCAATTTTTTCTTTAAGACTTTTTTCTCGGCTTTCCTGCCTAAACAAACGATAAACAAATAAAATGTCAAGCTACCTATTTAAAATTAACCAAGCCGACTCATTTAACTTTAATTCTTATTCGATTTGCTTAGTGTATACGGTGTAGTAGGTACCTACCAACTCAAACAATTTAAAAACATAGGAGATCAAAAGTTAAAAATATTACCAGAGTGCGGTTTTCTGTGTTCTTTTTTCTTCTCATTGAATTCGTCGGCCATTATCAATCACAAGGTACGAAATCAAAACGACACCCGATAACCGAGTGACTTTCTAAGTTACAACTTACAAGTATAAGAAAAAGATTCCACGAGACAGAGTCGAACAGACTAAAATTTTGAAAACACGTTTTCCTGTTTTGGTGAGATTATACTTATCAGTCATCGACAACTGATAACGGCGTGCACGCGCTTGTGAAGAAAAAATAATTATTCCTACATCTAGATGGCATTGGCGATTTAGCACAGAATATTCTGTGGTTTTAGTGTCTTATTCTGTGGTATCACAAGTAACAACTAACAAGTAAATTTAATTAAATTAAAAAACCACAAGATTAAAAATTATTTTTATTTACTATGAAATATTTAGGAACGGTTTTGGGTGTACATAAAATACAAAGACTACAATAAAAATAAACTACTGAAATTTAGATATTTATTGAAGAGAATATTATTATCTATTTATCTGTGAACTGTGACAAAACGGTATTATTGTTTTCAAAACTACACTCGGTGTTAATTTATCATTATAAACATTTGAAAAACACAAAATCATTGAAGTTTGAGATTTAATAAGGTAATAACTAGGTACTTCTTTCATAACGAATAAAAATAAAAACACTACACCACAGATAAAATTCCAAGCTATATTGTATTATTGTGTAAACATGTTGAATCTTAAAAAATGTACTTATATTAGAATACTTAAAAACATAATCGCAATAACCGTTTTTTCCCATATATTTTACTCAAAGTGCCCGTTAGCTGTTGCCTGTTGCCCATGTATAATTAATTTGTCTTAATAAAATACACAGTAATATCAACCCCACCCCCCTAAATAGGTACCAGGGGTATATTAGTAATAAAGTTTTATAAAGTGACAACTAAAAAATAAATAATTTTCAAATTCTATAGAATTGGGGAAATTTGAAAAACCGGTACGGTTTCGGTCAAAAAGTTGGGAAATACAATCCACATAAATTGTTACTTGTTCTTATAGCTGTATACAATTATTAAAAATACATAGACAGTTTTTTTTATAAGCATTTAAAGAACAAATTTGACAAAACAAGAATACTTGTATGGAAATAAATATACAAATATGCAATAAATTATGCTGTAATAAAAAATGTATAAGATCTTCAATTTTTATAGCTGACAAACTGTAAAATAACGATTACTCAAACAAGTTTATTTATTTTATTTTATTTATAATAATTACCTATCGTGTAAATGTGTGTGGTCGACGAATGGTGTATATTATTTAAATATTAAATAGTCATTTCTTTAAAAAAAAAATTTGATGCCCCTTAAATAATCTTTTAATGACCACAAAATTTCCCCCCAAAACCATATTGTATATTCTGTATATTACATTTTTTCATTATCACAAATAAAAAGATAATTTGAGGTTTTTCAAATTGCAAATATGCAAAAGTAATATTTTTAGAAAAATGGATTTAATTTTTTCACTGAACAGTAGAGTGGTGCTGACTACCTTCTTTTTGTATATTTGAGTTGTAAACTTAAACTTTCAGCTCAAAAAAAAGAGTGAAGGAGGATTGGTGGACAAAATGAGGAGGGGACAGAGTGACAGACCCCCCTGGTAAGTATGTGTAGAGTAAATCATATTCTAAATTGTAAAACTTTCAAATTTAGAACTTTATGGGTTTGATGTAAGTACCTACTACTTTTTGACGTATAAAGTGTAATATTTTAATTTATTTACCAGCTGTTATAATTATGTTGTAAGATTTTAGATTATAAATATTCAAACAAAATTATATTCTAAAAAATCTTACTGTTTGTTATTTAGTTAGGGTAAGTAAATTATGATCAATTTTATAAAGTAATAAGTGGTTTGTCATTTTTAAAACATAAAAATGTTAGTAAAAAATCAAAAATCAATAACTAGGTAATATTGTACTTAATAATAAATAAAATGTAAGTTTTAATCTACCAACTATTTTACTATAAATATGAACTTAATATCTTCGTAATTATTTCAGATATGAAATATTAGGGATAAAAAAAAACAATTATAATAATTAATAGGTCACAATATGTAATAATGAACTTCAATTTAAAGTGAAGAAATAAAAAAAAAAATGTTTGTACAGTTTAAATTTAAATGTATACTCATACGCGTTGTGCACATAGTAATAATTATAATTAATATTAAAAAATAATTTCGCAACAACATTGAGGAAACGAATGACTATTTAAACGATTTGTAAACACAACATATACCCTTGAACCATGGCATAGACCGATTTATATCTACCAAGAGCGAACACCCTAGGCCCTGAATTATAAAGCGTTCACGGCGTAACTATGGCAACGCGTACTCACGTGTCTTCGTCCTTTCCGCGGGTTACGATACCTGTTATACAGAGTGGTTGATTTAATTAAGTTCAGTTTTTATTGACCGAGTATAATATACCATGAATGATTGTTTTGTTATAATATTTTTAATTTCAATGATAGATTGGCGAATACTTAATAATAACGTATTGGAAGTTTATCAGTTTATTTTGTTACATTTGGAATAAACGTAACAAATATTAAAAGCTTAATAAATGTTTTTATGCTTAAAACATATTATATTGTTATTACTTATTATTAAGTATTTTCGGAGTATTTTCTTCTCCATATAATGTTATCTATAAATACAATTATAAATTGTCTCTCAATCGTCATTGTGTAAATGATTATTGATATTTAAGATATAAGATAAAATTGCTAGTATAAGTCATATTTTAATTGTGGAATAATAAATAACAATTCAATAATGGTTAATACCTACGTCATACGTACTATATATTACTACATTCGAACTGTAATATTGTAATAAATAATAAAAAATAGGTAAATAATAATGTATATAAATATGGTTGTCTTAGCGGCGAGCATTGTTTTGGTGATCACAAATATACAATTAATATGCGTTAAAAAGTATACTTGGATTCTTACACTCTAAGTAAATTGATTGTTTAAAAAATAATGTTTTTCTTATATTTATATTAACATTTGTAGTGATTAGGACAAATAAACTAGGCTTGAGCCTTGAGGGGACATCGGAAATATTAATAGTAAATATAATTTGTATTCTACAGTTTTGAAATTAACCCAATCAAAACAATTGACAATAAAATGTATTTAAAATTTTAAAATGTTGTTTTTTGGTGGACTGCAGTAGTGCAGTAGTTGCAGTATAAGTTTTACATACGTGTTCAACGCTGCAAGCGATAAAAATAACTTAAAAATAATTATATCATGTTATATTTATTATTTTCCCACAGATATATCAGGTATACCAGTTATGGGTGTGTTCGTTGCTTAACAAAATGTTGAATATTTGAATGTAAATAATAATTTGTATATGCGTAAGATCAGCGTTTTTTCAAACCTATATCGCGGTGGACTTGAGCCCCCCCCCCCAAAAAAAAAAATCCGTTTGCCATTTGCACTTATATATTATGTTCGCGCGATAAATTTAAATTTGTAAATTATGCATGATTATTAAATATAGGTGCCTAGTACACTAGAACCTAGAACCTACCTACGATACAATGATTTTGGAGTTGGGTCTTATGAATTGAAGAAAAAATGATTGAATGGATTTAGACCTCCAAGAATATGCCAAGTTCTCCCTCCATAAAAAAAGAAAAGTAAAAAAAAACAAACAAACAGTAATAGGTAGGTTACTACTAGTAAATATCATATTTTATGTCTAAAAATAATTTTAAATTAAACCTAATCAAAATTATTGAAAAAAAATGTATTTAAAATGTTGTTTTAGTTGTATACAATATACGTATAATAAACACTGCAGCATACGATAAGAATATCTTTATTTTTTTCCGCTGAAAATGTGGTAAGATAATAGTTTGACACTATAACGTAATATTTTACCACAGACACCAGCTATGTGTGTGTTTGTCAGCCATTTCAGTTTGCTTAAAAATGCTTTAATTTATGTAAATAACATAAATAATAATAATTTGTACTAGTGTGAGCCCCTCACTTTTTCACGGTGGATTTGAGCTCACGCCACAAAAATAAAGTGTGCTATATTATGTACGTGCGATGGATTTAAATTAAAAAATAATTCGAGAAGGTACCCACTACCCATACTGCCTACGATACGGTGATTTTCAACTCGGGCCTTATACATTTTTTAAAAATGGTTACTTTTATACGACATGGACAGAGTTGGATACGTCGGTACGTGTCACACGCAAATTATCACAAGTCGTGTTTTAGGTATATTGTAATAATAATATTGTTGAATATTACAGTAAAGAGTGTGAGTAAAAACAAAAAAAACACTTATCGAAAACATTGTCAGCGCGCGTGTCCGACCTCGCACCACGTAGGTATACAATAATACAATATATTATTATTGTGTATGTACATCGAAATATAATCGTGTGACAACATACCTATTGTTATTTTGTTTATCGTACTTACGTGTTCTAGATTACCATACAGCCGGTATAGAGCCATAGAGGTACGTGTTTGCGCTCGCGACCGCTCTGTATACCATCGGTGACTGCTAACGGTGTCGGGGGCGGCGAGTGCGCGGTAGAAAATGCAACTTGCCACCCACCGAAACCGTACGGTCGTATAAACCGTGAATATGCGGCGGCGGCGGCCGACAACGTGTTGCATGTTTACGTATGGCAGACAATAATAATACAATATTCGCCAGTCGCTGCCCCGTACAACAGTACAGTACATTCAGACTTCAGTACAGTTTCTCGTCCGCCGGTAGTGTGACGTTGGCTCCTCGTCCGCCGCGACATCATATCATAATATTATATTTCGTTGTCGTCGCGCATATTTTATTTTAATATCGAAAATATTCATACAGAAGTTATCGACGACGACGAATATAATCATTTTCGAGTTGGACGTAACAATATATCACCTGTGCAGCTAAATACATAATAAATATAATATTATAATATAATAAATATATATTATATTATTATCGCTTATAAGCCGGCCGACTTTCAAAACACACACGACTACACAAGCCCACGGTCGACCGTGCACGGGATTTTCGTGGTAACCAAATAAACCGCCATGGACCGACTGAGAGTGATGACCGGCGCCCGGCGCATGTTCAACGGACCGCTGCACAAGTGTTCCAAAGCTTCGACGGGCCACTGTCGCACGTCGCCGTCCTGGACTGCGTCCGGGTCACACGCGCCGTGCACGACTGTAGCCGTACGCATGTTCGGCGCCACTTCCTCCCGCTCCACCCCTTCGTCGTCTACCGGACCGATAATCTTGGAATCGCCGTTCGGCACCGTCAACCCCGTGGATGTCACCCTGCCAGAATACATATGGAGGAACGTGGACAAGTGGGAAGACAAGCCGATGATTGTAAGTACCTGTAATACCTAGTACATGCCTACCTACACCTTACCTTCCTAACCTCCAGTCGTCAAAAATCAAACATCCCTTATGGCCTTAGAAGTTATAGTTAATACTACGCACTCGTTAGGAAGACGATTTATGAGCTTATTAGCGGTTAATGTGTTGCGCCAGTGTAACGGACATCCTGCTTTCTAATTTCTACTTTTGATATAAAAATGCATAATGTCATAACTTTACGAGACAACTTCATATCTATAATGCGCTGTATGTTATTTGTTAATTTTTTTTTAATTTGTAAATATGATAAATTTAAATTTTTACACACTATTCGTATAATAACATAAATAAATGTGTGTAGTGTACCTAACACACTCGTCACTCTCTACGTACTTACGTATTAGCACCGCGGCGACATTGAAATGGTTTTTAATCTACGCGGAAAATTATTGCATTTGTAATGGTGATTAAAAGTTGAAACAATTATAAAAACAAATAATTAAGTGATATTAATTAATGACTATGTGAAATAATTTGGTGATTAACTGAGTATAGGTATATCCGTGCATTTAAAAGTGTTTTAACGTAATTGTGTAAACGTATTACGTAGTAATTATACTCACTAATTATCTATCTACTATATTATTACCTAGGCGGTTACTTTACTCCTCACTCACAGGACGCGTCTCTGGCTGCTACCCTAATATTTTTTTATCGCTAAACGATCGGGTTGAGCCTGCAGCGGAATTTCCTTTACATATGAATGATGTCTATACGAGATTGGCTTCGATATGGTGTATAGTCCGCGTCAGATATAGATTTTACCTTGTGTAATGGATAATAATATAGTCACATTCAACATTTTTACTGTACATTGTACATGTTTATTAATTATTTACATTTTCTAATCTAATAGTTCACTCTCAATACTGATTTGTGATTACCGATTACGCTACCGTAATAATATTATTATTGTTGTCTTGGACTGCCTCGCAAACGGGTCGTAAATTTATTATTTGTAGCTTCTTCATCATAACTCTGCTTACACACTTGCCTACCACTCACTCCTATACATGTTTTCTCATGCAGCTATCTACTTCCTGAATTCCCATGTCATCAGTTATATTGTATTTTCACTCCGGCTATTTAATAAACACATATCAACATGTATACTTACACGGTCACCCCACCATAACTCATGAAACAACCAAGTAATAAACCGTCACGTATATAAATGATATGAATTGAGAGTGTTAAGAAAGTTTGAAAATGTCCATGCTTATAATATCTAGATAATAATATATAATATGTTTATTAAACGTACCTATATGTAGGTAGTATTTATATCTTTCGAGTTTATAATAAATAACATGTCATTCGCTACGGATCCACGTTATGGTAATGACGTGATTAATAAAACAGTGAGATTTCTTTTTTATAAACTTGATTTTTACCATACCGATTTGTTTAGGTGTTAGGAATGTATAAAATCACTTCAGATATCCTAGAATCGCCACGAGCTACGGTCACTGTACAATATTACAATGAAAGTAAATTATCAAATAACATTTAAACGTTCAGCGTACCTACTACCTATGGACAATCGATATTTTTTATATTCATAACGTGAAGCAGTGGAGTGTAACTACTATACGGAAAAAGACATCACCACTATTATAATACTATACCTATATATTCATGGACCGCGGTACCTTATATAATTGTATGTATTAGAAATACTTAATGCTTAAAACATGTTTTACACACGAGTAAACTTATATAGGTAGTATAATAATGATAATATGTACTAAGCGCATATACGTCATTATAGTATTATACACACTACACACACAACCGACGCAAATATACTAAAAGAGTTTTTGATTTAGAGTCAACGCATAGCTATTTTTAATCTATGCGTTTTTTTCGGTTTAGAATACGTTGTACTAGAATTACTGTGTGCAACCATTTTACAAATCGAAGTATTTTCAATTTATACAGAGGAAAATAATTACACTTAAAAATGAAATATTGGCTTAATATAAAATCATCTTATATTATTTAAATTATCAATTTATGTTATAATGACGTTTAAATATATTATTGTACAATAATAGGTATTAATGTACGATAATTGTACAATTTACCGTGAGCAAATATAGATTCTGTTAATTGCCAAATCGTATCACGATAATTATTATTCACGATATCAAATATCACATTTGTATAATGTAACATCATTATTCTAATATATTCTTCGTTCAATAATTGCAGATATCTCCAACAATTGTTAACAAAAATTGCATCTATTTTTTTTACTACATTATATAACATTTTAATTGTAGATATTATTTGCATTGTGCATGGTACGAAAAAAAATCACTCTCTAGTTGCTAATTTGCAATAGGGTTTATTTATTTGATACCTACTAGGTTTAGTATTAAACTGTCTACTTTTTATTATCTAGTGTGTTATAAGTACATAAATACATTCAAAAAGCGAGATAACCACATTGTATGGTTCATAACTCGTAAGTACGTACCTACCTAGTTCTAAACAAACATTGAATGCCACTAATTCTAATTTGTGCGTCAGTAAAACAAACAAAGTCAATAACTTACTGTTTTCAATTTTCAAATTTTATACTATACCTATTTATAATAATATACGCTGTTGTGTGATGTGCAATTTTTGTATGTTGTCGATAGCAGATTATAAAATATAAATATCTCATTGTCGAATTGCGCTAAACAGTAAAAATCCTATGACAATTAGTGTTTGCAGAATTTAAATTGAATAGACACCTTAAATTGCGTTTATGTTTTTGTTTGTTTACAACGTCACGGTTTCGATGATTCTTAATTACGACTGAAATAAAATCGCAAATAATTTGAATTGTTTTAATATTATTGTTCTATAATAAATACTATACATGTACAAATGTCAATGACTGATTATTTTTTCTGCACTTGTTATTATTATCATTTATAAATTATAATATTTAACATGTTGGTAGGTAGTTATATTTTGTGATTTAATGTTTTAAATTTATACATAGGCGCTTAAAGTCAATGTTGATATTGATATACATCATATTAATGTACGTTTTAATTGTGTTATTCCTTTATAATTTTATTTGTGTAAAACAATATTAGGTACCTTAAAACGGACAGTGATTAAAGTCCATCAAAATTCGTTACGAATAGAATTTTTTTCATTCTAAATGGGCGTTTCGTAAAAGTATTTTGATAAAATATTTTTATCGTTCAACGGTATAGAATAAATTGTAAACACCATACTAAATACGATGATCATTATTATTGTTATGAACTCATTTTGAACTTTGGGTACTTGTATTTATATTTTATTTTGTTTCATTTTCTATACACCATTGAACTATTGTGTAATTGGTTTACATATGAAACAATGTCAGTGCGATAGTATGAAGTCCAACTTTGATAGCTTTTAAAGATACAACCTGCAATAGTGCAATCAACTGTAATTATTGTACTTATCGCACAAACAGTTGACGCTTAAAATTTATTTTTTATAGAGAGACAATAACTTTTAGATAGGCGTCTTTCCGCGTACGGTGTATACGAGTATCGACTGCTTGTTATTTAGTTATTTTCTTAATCTAGTTAATTTTCATTGCACTTGTAAATAATTATTGTAACATTACATTATTAAGTATTTATTTTTTTCATGTACCTAATCTGCACGAATTTGCAGTGCAATTTTTATAAATTCACAAAAATGATTATACAAAACATATTTGCGTTGAAAAAATAATCTGTCGTGGTGTAATATAATAAATAGTTGGTACTTATGTTCTATACATTTATATGTTCTGAAAATGTCTTAGTTATACTAAATACGTTAAAATGTTTAGTATTCAAGTGGAGGTAGGTACCTAACGGGAAATATATAATGCACTTAGTAGTTTATTAGAACTAATAAATATAATGTTTAATAATTAAATTATTATTTAAATTATATACAAATGATACTATATTATGCATGTTTATAAAAAGTATTGATTTTAGGTATGTTATTTTTCGATTCAATTGTTTAAATAATATGTGTAATATCATTATAATAATACAAGTAGGTAACAAAATATATATCAAATAGCCAATAAGTAGGTATTATTATATTATATTGTAGCAATTTGGTAGTGCACAGTACACAGTACAAGAACACATTATAGTTTAGAATTTACATTATAGGTGCCTATATCAATATTCTCATAATCTGGTCAATCACAACATAAAAAACTTCTATTTTAATCTATAAACTAGAAAATTATGCTTAAATAGAGTACAATAAATTTAGTTAGTTACGCGTTCGTTTTATAAGTAATGCAAATGGACAATTAATGTTCAGTTTTATTAATTAACCACTCATTAACAGTTAAAATGTTATTCAAAGATAAATTTACATAACGTACTTATCGTTTATACATTATACACATCAAATATAATTCAATACCTACATTTAATTGCTGTACAAATAGTAATATATTTTTGATAATTTACATTGTGTGGTATATTTTTATGTATTTACAATTGTTTCAATCATAATCGTTGGGTTTATTATTCTTGACTTACAGCGAAATCATAAAATAATTATGAATTGCAAATTTTTATAATACATAAAATAATTGCTTGTCGTACGCCGTACGCGTTCCACAATATTGTCAATAACGATTTCCGGGTTTTGAAAATGAAAATAATTATTGCGATCAGAATACCTTACAAAATATAGTCTACCAACGAAGGCAACGGCGACCACGTATTAAATAAAGGTACACGTACATTGACATAGTTAGATAATATTAGAAAACCTCGACCTTGTGGCGGCTGTTGTTGTGTTATACTGTTTTTTTATTGGTCCGTGGCTATCTACTTTTGCACTCGTATATACACTATAGCCTTTTGAACGCTACCCGGTAGTTATCGGTTCATTATCTAACACACCATCGCCCCCGAAAATGTATTGAGAAATAATCCAATTTTTGTTTATCATTTCCTGGTTACTAAATCATTTTATGTACAAAGTAAAACCTGTCAAAAGTCCAAGTTATTTTTTGTTTTTATAGAATATAAGCAAGGTGTATTGATAAACAATAATACTTAGATATTACTTATGTGTTGTATACTTTCAATATACCTACCTTGAATAAAAGTAATGTCTTCACTTGTCGTTGAAACACTATACTCTGTTATAATCTCAATACTTATGCATTTCACTATTTCTGATTACAAACATATTATTACCTATACGACTCCGAACATAAACAAAATGTTAATAGTTTAAAATGTTGAAAAATAATGAGTATAGTACCCTAATGAATCGTCATTGCGTGGCTCAGAACTCAAATTGGGTATATTTTATTGGAAGTATCTGATTCATGTTGTACAATAGGTATACAAAATATGTAGATATAATATGTTTCATGCAAGCCTTGGCAAATCGTGGTGGAATTCCCAACTAGATAGTTAAAGCTGAATTATTTGAATAAAACTAACCAGTTTTATATTTAAATTACGTAGTCACATAATTAAAAAAATATGAAATATAATAACTTAGTTTGAGTATAAAGTTAAAGTATAAGTTGGTCGATTAATAAACCAAATGCGATAGTTTGAAAACATTTAGTTGATTAGGTACTAAGAAAGACCGATGTATGTTTGTATCATTGCTTTATTAGTTGTATATTCATTACATTTTAATAATAGTAGGTATTTTAACAAATTTTGTTCATAAAAAATGTAATTAAATAAACCTATTATTTTAGATTTTTTAAAATTACTATACTTAGTTAAGTTAGAACTTAGAAGTTACCTACAAAAGAAAGTTTTAACTTTCTTACTTAGTGTCTAACCTTGGTTTCACATTTACATGAGCTTATCATTTTTTGAGCATATCTTTAAACATTTCATATAGGTATTTAGAACTTTTTAAGAAAGTGTATATACTTTCACATATTATAGTATCACTTTATGTTGATGTGTGGAATATGGTCGTATCTACTAATTTCAAAATTTTTTTGTTTCTTCATCAGCTTTTGTAGGCCATTAAACCCATATAGCCACCGGGTTATCAACCTTAAGTATTCGGAAATTCTAGTTGTATTCGTCTATCCACCTTTGCTTCGGCCTATTCAGTAGGTACTCACTACTCACTTCTTACTTTTAGCGTTTTTATAATATCTTATTTTTTCAAAAATTCTATAATTTCATTATTCGATGTTGTTTCGTATTCGTCTGTCACTCTGTCGGATAATTTAGTGTTTATATAATAATCATAATAAATTATATAATATGAATTTTATAATTTAAAAATACATCATAAATCGAGTCCGTTTGTGTAATAAGTTGATAATTAATAGCTATATGATAAAGACTATTCGTTGCTTAATATATGTAACTTTTTTTTGTTACCTATACCTACTAACTATAGTTAAATTTCAGTGATTTATTTATGAAATTTACTTGTAAATACCTACTAAACGTACTAAACATTTATGATTTATTTAGCAGTAGGTATGTATTACCATTGATTATAAACACTATTTATAATCAATGGTAATACTAATTAGTAATTATACATATTTACATTGCAATATTGTATTGTATTGCAATAAAATTTATTTTTATGAGTAATAATAATCGTTGGTATTTACTCGCTTATTTACCTGTAATGCCTACGATATTAAATTATCATTGTAATTAATACTTACATTTTTTAATTTTATACAATTATGTATTTTATAATTGTATACAACTGATTTATTTTTCACGCGTATTTCAATATTTATAATTATTAAATATTAATTTTAATAACATACTTATATTTTTAGACGTGTGGTAGTAGTGGCAGATCATACACTTATGGCGAAGGTCGAATGATTTGCAGATTATTCGCTAGTACTCTTATTTCGAAACTTGGTTTGAAAAAAGGTGATGTGGTTGGGTTATTGTTGCCTAACCTACCAGAGTACGTTTTTGCCATTCATGGAGCCCTCGAAGCAGGACTAGTCGTCACTTTTGTTAATCCTCTTTACACTCCCAGTAAGATATTCTATTTAAGAATCGTATAAGATTCGTATTTCGTACATATTATATTTATTTTTAGCTAATTGCTAATCATTATTCATTCTGTTATAGTGGAGGTAAAACGACAGTTCGAAAACGCTGGTGTAAAACTCTGCATGACAATCTCTTTATTACTTCCTGTAATTAAAGAAGTATCCCCTAGCCTTAAAGATTATGTGGGCACCATAGTATTTGGCGGCGAAGAAGTTGCGAACGAAAAAGCTCACGTGTACGATTTCAAGACTTTAGTCTCAGGACAAACGCCCGGCGAACTACCAAAATCGTTTGCCCATGAAGTTGCCTTATTGCCATATTCTAGTGGTACAACCGGGCTTCCAAAAGGTGTGATGTTAACCCACAGAAACTGTGCTATAAATTTGGAACAATGTATAAACAAAGATATCATCAGTTATGAGCCAACAACTGGTAATTATGCTACGTTTAATTATTATTTGTTATCATTATAATAATATTTGAAACTCCGTAAATAAGCAGATATTCGAGTTTCGCATGGTTAACATTCATTGGTAATTTAATTTTATAGACACCTACCAAGAAAGAGTTCTTAGTGTTCTACCATTCTTCCACATTTATGGATTTAATGGAATATTAAATGGAGTATTATCACATGGTCTCCATATGATTACCATACCAAAATTTACCCCGGAATCATATATTGAATGTGTGCTAAAATACAAGGTACGTAAATCTACATAATATCTTGTAAAAAATAAAAAATAAAAATTGAAACAAATAATAAAATATTTTATGTTATTATGAAAATAATTATTATTTAGCCAACATTTTTGTTTGTGGTGCCTTCATTACTGTTGTTCCTAGCCTCTCATCCATCAGTAAAAGCAGAACATTTAAGCTCAATCAAAGAAATCACATGTGGTGCTGCACCAGCATCGAAAGGTCTTATCGATAATTTTTTACTTAAAGCTCAAAAAGACATTAGAATTAGACAAGGTTAGTTTTATTTTTTTTTACTTATATTCATAAATGTATTATAGATTCATATTTTATTCAAAGACTATAAGCACCTTTATTGTATAAGTAACATCCAATGCACATAGTTTGAAACAAAATTTGGCTCTCAGAAGTCGTTTTTAGTAAAAAGGTAGAGGAGGGCAATTTGAATACACTGGCACAACCATTACGTTTTATTTTTGTTATCTGTATTTTAACAGTAAATATTATTATAAAAGTGATATTTACTGTTAATTTTCATAAATTATTATTTTATAATTAAAAGAAGTAACCAAGTCACGAAGCTGGAGGGCGATGATTGATGGGCCTACAAACAAAACTGTTTTAAATTTCTATTAACGTAAGACAGATTGTTGCCATTACAAACGTTTTTTAAATTGTGAATGGTTAGCTTAATTTTTCAGGTCAAATATCATATCTAGGGATCAAGACTCGATGACTTTAAAATCTAAAAAGAAAATATTCTGTGTTTTAGTTCTTATACCTAGGTACCACTGAATATTTATTTTTAGTAAAACAAAAACGTTAGGTACCCCCAAAAAATTTGACTCAAAACGAGAAAAACAACAACGACAAATAGAAGAAAAATTTGCACTATTGAATTTTTCGTTACATGTGTCAAATTTCTCTAAGAGCGGGTATTGTTTAAAAGAAGAAATGTAAATGCATCAAGTGGCTGGCCATAGTCATAAATTTTTTATTGCGGGTTGATATAATATTGAATCATCTGCTGAAATCAATTTAAATTGATACAATATATTCCCAGATACAATACTGTCAATGCATTTAATAACTAATTGAATAACAATAACTAATTGGTAATATCAAACAAAATAATCAAATCACAGTTGGATATCAAGATATTTTCAATATTTGACTTTTGGCGTAGGATGGACCCCCGTATAGAAAAATAAATTTCGGGACCCCTTGCAGTCGCCGGGTAGTTAGGCGGACGAGACTGACACTGAAGTCACTAGACTTCCTTATTCTATTTCCAATTAAACATTTTCAGGTTATGGAATGACCGAATCATCTCCCGTGACTTTATATACAAGAGTTAACTTGCCTGAGAATAAAACCGGGAGTACAGGACAACTCGTACTAAGTACTCAAGCTAGGGTGGTCAGTTTAACCGATGGCTGTGACTTGGGACCACATAAATCTGGAGAACTATTGATTAAAGGACCCCAGGTAAATTTGATTCAACTATACATGAGTTAAAATATTGAAACTTATCGATTCCTAAATTTATTTTGTTTTAGGTGATGGCTGGATATCTTAATAATGAAAAAGCAACTAAAGAAACTGTGGATGAAGATGGTTGGTTACATACTGGTGATGTTGTCTATTATGACGAGGACGAATATTTCTTCGTTGTAGACAGGACTAAGGAATTGATAAAAGTCAAAGGGAATCAAGTAAGTGAATATTATAATACACACGTAATTACCTAAAACTAATTGTTTAGGTAATCAATATATTTAAATTATAATATATACTTACTACTCATATAGCTAGTACTTATACCGCATTTCAAAATTTGGTAGATACATGCTAAAGTTATAAGTTATTTGTTCAATAATCAGCTTTTAGGGTGATTTTTAAAAACAATTTCCACTTAAATATTTTCTAAGGGTAATAAATGTAATTAAGGTAAACATTTTAGGAACTACACTCAATCGGCTTTGAAAAGGTACTAATATATTTTAGATTCAAATTGAGTTTACAATGTGTTTTTTCCTTTTGGAACACTAAAAATATTTTAATCGTAAACTTTGAGAGTTGTTTTTGATAGGAAATAAGGTGTAGTGGGTACTTAGGGGCGGTAAAAAAAAATTTTATAAAAAATTATAGAAAAACGGGAATATTTATGATACACAAATATATGTTAGAACAACAAAAATTTTCAAAATATTTCAAAGTTGAAAATTCATATCAATTCTGATTTTAATTTGTAGTTATAGCTTAATATGAGGTTTTTAATAAGTTGGTCTTACGGAGTACTAAAATATAAAAAATATTCAGGCAGACTTGATTGGAGAATAAATAATCTACCCAGTTATTTTTTTTATTTTATTTGTAACGAACCGAATACACTTTTCTGAAGCCTAGTTCACTTTTTTTAATTAACTAGTACCTACCTACTTTACTTTCCATAAATACGTTATATAATGATGTAATTTAGTATTGAGTACTGTGTTGGGTTTTCAAAGTATCCACTGTAATGCATAAAATAAACTGATTTCAATTTTCAAGTTTATTTTTTAAAATTTCATCAGTTGTCCTATATTGAAATATTAACCTACAATTTTTCACAATAATTTCACCATAGTCGTAAATATGATTAAAAATCTGGGGAGCTAGAAGTATAAATTAATATGTATTAAACATAATTTATTATACCTACGAGGTGAAGTTAGGAAATATTTGGGGAGCTAAGCTCCCCTCCACGATTTACGCCTATGCACTTGACTTGACATCACTACACGTGGTAGACAGTAGTTATAACAGTTTAATCACAAGGTTATTAATAGTAATTAGATATTTCTAAAAACTCTCTTATAGTCTAATGTACCTAGTACCAACTACCTACCTACTATTAAAGTACTATAAGACAATGTATAATATAAGTTTTATTTTTAAAATCTGACCATCTCAGATTTCTAATGTAATTTTTTATGATGTTATTGGAATAAATATTTTGGTAATCATATCGTATTAAAATGTATAATAACTACCCACTTATAAGTAACAACTCAATAACGGTGATTATTGCTGATAATAATTAAATTAATAATACTTTATTAGGATATACTACTTATTGCTTCCAAACTATAATTAAAATGATATTAATTAAATACTAAAGACAAATTAAGATAATGAGTAGGTATCTCCCTAGCTATGGGAATACCATTTGATTTTAATGAAAAAATAGTTACTATTCAATATACCTACTTAGGTAACTACTGTTTCAATTTTTTTTCAAATCTTATACTAATTATAATAATGTATTTGATTGCAAATAATAGTTAATACCTATGACTTACCTACCTTTTATTTTGTTACCCATTTATATAAATAAGTGCTTATAGTATGGCTGTACCTACCCAATAAATAACTTGAAAAAACATTTTCGATTTCTTTCAACTATTTTATTGCCTTATTAGTAAATACGGGTATGTAACAAAATTAAGATGCCAGCACACCATTTGTTTTATCTCTCTGACCCACTGTCAACATAGCAAATTTACGTTTAGCAGAACCAATCCTGTGTTATTACTTTTAAATTTTAATATTAAAGTGAATTTACCTAAGCAAACTTTATGTTCAGAACATTGCCCGTTTCCCTACGTTGGCTATTTTATATTTGTATTTTTATGTAAGTTAAGAGCTTGTAAATTATTATTTATTACGCTTTAAAAATGCTTATAACTTGTATAAAAATATCTTAAAAAAGCCAATGTATGGACACACATTTTATGTTCTTAGCATAAAGTTTGATGATAAGTGAATTCACTTTAATATTAAAATTAGCTAAACAGGGTTGATCACAGAGAGAAAACAAATTTCGCGCTGATATCTTCTTAAAAGTAATTCGTTTTGGGCATACGCCATACAGGTACTGTACAAATAATTACTGATGTAGTGATGTTTCATAGTTATTCGAGAAAAATAATAAGGTCAAGGCATATTGAATGTAGTTGTGGTATTGTAATTGTAATTATTGATAAGAGAAAAATCAAACAATACATTTACTTAAATTTCTAACATTTAATTACCATCATGTTATCATATGAGAAAATCAGTTTTATATTTAAAAAAAATATATTTTATTTATGTAAATTATTATTTGACTAGAAGAATTATTATTATGATTAATATAAGGATTTGTCAACTTCTAACCAGTTAGCTTGTCTGTTGGATGTAAATTACATAATTACATACAATCTTTGATAAGGTTCTGTGCTTTTATATACACACAATTAAACAAATACATATTTATTAAATAATATAATTCAGTAAGCAATAATATGTACTAGCATTCATTTTGATTTGATTTTCTTGTACATTTGAAAAATAATGTCTAACTTCTAAATGCAAACAATAAAAACGCTTTAAAGGTTTTTCTTTTATAAGTAATATATTTAAACAAATTTTATAACGATATTAAATAACTGTTTGTATAGGGGATGATAATTGATAATGTTTAAGTATAAATATAATTTATTGTATTTCAGAAGGAAAATTTTTAGGTTAATAAAATATTTAAGCAAAAGCTATTCAGTCATTTAAACAAGAAATAGTACAGAGTATATAATATATGAAACTAACTATATAATTTAGAGATACAAATTTAATTTTTTCATCAAAAAATAAATTGTTAAATACATTAAAAAATAAAGTTTATTTGACACAATGCATTAAAATAGGAATGAAAATATGTAGATATTGATACTTTTTTCTTAGTTAACAAATATGTATTACATTGAATGAGTACTTTCTCTGATGGTATTGTATTTTTATTAAAATTACACGAAACAAATGCGTCTGTATAAGACGAGAAAAAATTATACATCATGAACAAATAATGTATTGAGTTAAAAATAGTTGAAACATACATTATTTAAAAAAAATAAAAATGCTTTATTCAAAATATACTACATTTTTATTCATTTAAAATTATATATGAAAAAAAATGATTATTGATTATTGATTAAATCAAAATAGCAATATTTGCAAATAATTTTGTACAAATAAATGAAATAACTTATTTTGAATTTATCACGTAGGTACATATAAACATTAAATTTTACATAACTTTTACCTAATTGATAAAATTTCATTATTATTAACCTAACCAGTCAATGTAATATTCTTTTAGGTCTAATATTTACTAAGACTATTCACTTTCAGTCAATTTATTTTCATCCCGTACTTGAGGTTCTTCAGCAGTTGTATTAGGTTCCGTTGTCTGAGTGTCTTCATTTTCTTTAACACTTTCTTGTGGTATAACGTCAGGGATGATGTCATTTTCGGTTTTCTCTAGTTCTACCTCCATATCAACAGAAATTGGGTCTACAGTAGGTAGGTCAACAGTAGATTCATCAACTTGTTGTTTGTCATTTTTAATTTCTGTAAGTTTAGTACATACTTCTTGTACATTATCACTAATTACTTCCGATTCCATACTCTTGGATACATCTTCAAATTGTACATCCATACTTTCAATATTATCGTCTGATTTTTCTAACACAACTGCTAGTTGTGAAGTGTCTACATCTAGTTCAACTTTATTATCAGAATCTGGAGTTTGATGAATAATTGAACCTTCTACACGATCGACATCTGTCGGTATTAATTCCAAATGGTCCAATTTATTACTTTCTACAATTGGCTCTTCAGTTTTCGGTTTGATAATTTCAAGTTCTATATCTTGGGGTAAATCTTTAAGCTCATCAACATGATCACTTACAATTTGTTCTATTACTTCAACAGGTTGAATTTCACAGACTTCAGAATTTAACTCCTTTGGTTGATCAACAATATTTTCATGTTCTACAGAGACATTTGGTGGGACATCAATATCGACTGGTTTTACAACTTCTGTAGTAGAGTCTGTAATCTGTGTCTGAAGTGGTGTAGCTTGAGTCATTAATACTGGAGCATCTTGTTTGGATTCTTCGGGTGTAATATTAGATTCAACTTTGTCAACTTGTGCGACAAGAGGATCTTTTTGTTCTGTCTTTGTTTCGTCCAGTTTGGATTCTGGTGTTTTCATTGATTCTAATTCGTTTAGAAGACTTTCAACTGTATCATTACCATTTAGAACACTTGCATCTGTAATAACATTATTTTTATCAACCAATTCCATACTGATATCGGACTCTTTCCCATTTTCCCACCGGTCTGGGACGCCATTGACAATGGGCTCTTCTCGCTTTTGTCTTAATTCACATGTACTGACGACCAATATATTTTTTTCAACGGCACGCATGAACTTGTCCACACGGTTGTATTCTTTTCTTGGGCAAGACAACAACTCACAAAGCCTTTGTATGGTAAACGGGGGCCCATTGAAAGTGTCGAAACGTTCCAACAACATGGTCTTCATGGCCTCGTAATTGAACGGGTCGACATTTGGGTAGGGCGGTATGTCAGACAACGCAGACTGTTCTGCAAACTCGGCAATAACGTTCATTATCTTCTCACGGATGAATGGCTTGACCAGCGTCCACTGAAACACTGTGTTTCCGGTCTTGGCGACGTACCTCAGGTACTCCTCCAGTTCCACGGGAACCTGTTGCTTGTACATCTGGTACATCTCCAGCATTTGCATGACCAGTTCCGCGTTCTCGATCATTGCGGACGCTGGATGGCAGTAACATTAAACGTACGGTACCAACCTGTGAGTGTCCGTCGTCCTGTGATTTCTTTCTGCTTCACACACCAAGGTCCGGTTGTTCGTCGACGGATCACACGAGAATTCGAAACACAACGCGAACGGTGCACAATAAGAATAATAATAACGTATAATATTATTATTATTATTGCTGTTGTTTTAATATTAAAAAGGACCGTAAACAACAAGTCAGCCGCCGTTCGATGGTACTGTATAAATGCTCGGGAGTCGGGAGTTCGGGACGAAAACAGATAAGGAAACTGCACAACTATAACTGGTGTAGAGCGCATGCGCCCGCGTCATGGAACAGTGCCGAGTGTCAACACAACGCCGGCCAACTATGGTTTCTCGATAAAGAAACAAATTAATAATAACAATAGCTACAATTTAAGCTTACAAGTTATAACGACCTTTGACATAACTATAACCTTATAACAGTTATAACTTACAGCTGTAACCAGACTCAACAATGCAACGAGTCAAATACTTTAAATTAAAATATTATTGATTATTTATTTGTTTAAAGTATTTGATTGAGTGGCGGGTACAAACTTTAATACTTTTGTTTTAACGATACTTTTGAACTCAAAGGTTTTGCAAAATATGCTAGCATTTAATATTTTTTTTACAATGACGAAGACACATTAAATAGGTTGTATCATGACGAAAAATTAAAATTGAATGTGTACCACGAGTATTGACGTATTATATAAAAAAATAATAATACCTACACACTTATGGGCTTCCTCCTCCTCCAACAGTTTGGTAAGCAGGACAACACCGGGTGTTCAATACTTTAGATTTGACCTCGTGTCCACATCACTCCAAGGTGCGATGCAAACAATTCGAATTTATCATATAGACCTTTAGAGAATTCATAGACTTTTTCGAAGCCGAATCATTTGAAGTGTTAAAAAACAAACTATTATTTAAAAGATCAATATAAGCTCAAGACCAATTTATTAAAAACTATTAACCCTATTGTTAATTTATACATGTGTATAAATTGTTTAATTGTGCAATGATTGATGTAGGTTAGTTATTATAAGGTATTATAAGGTATGCAATACTAGCCCATACGTCAGTGTTTGAATTTGGTCAGGTGGAGGTGGAGTAGGTACATGTTATTAAAAAAAAATCGTATTATAATTTATACTATCCCTCCTAAGTTCTAATTTTACAGAAGTATGAGTGTATATTTTTTTTTTTAATCTAAGACCCGGCAACTTAGGCCATTAGCTGTTTGTAGGGGGAAACGGTTGGTTGGAAGCACGTATTGTATGTAGGATTTTGTTGCTAAAAATCAAGGGAGAGATGTATATTAGGTATTTATAATTTAATCGATAAAATATTTAAATCTTCAGGTGTATGGTACATTTTTTTCGTTTTACGTATGTACTATTAAAAAACTATTTAGGTACTATCTATTAGCGTACTGCATTTATGATTTAACGCGTAATTATCGCATTAAATATTACCTATTTCGATACTTTACATTTTTAATATTTAACTGAGTTTCACAGCAGGGTCGTATTATATAGCCCCCAATAAAAACCAATTCTTTATAGTAAATCTTTAGAAAAAATTGTATAATGCACTGAAACAATGGGTACTTGTTTTGTAATGTTAAGTAGAAATTTTATGACTGACTATAGGTAGTTTATATATTATAATCATATATTTGTTCTACATGTATAATTAAAAATGAATATATTTTTTTAAGGTATCGCCTACTGAATTGGAGAATTTGATTTCCCAGTTAAAGGGTGTTGCTGATGTAGCCGTAGTAGGTATACCAGATGTGCTCTCCGGAGAAATACCAAGAGCTTTCGTTGTAAAGCGACCAGGTATGGACATTGATGAAAAAACTATATTAAGCCATGTTGAGAAGAATGTAGTAGCATACAAAAAATTGGCTGGAGGTGTTAAGTTCTTGGACATGATTCCACGTAATCCGTCTGGCAAAGTATTGAGAAATGAACTTAAAGTGTTTGGCAACAATCCAAGCGAACAACCACAGAACTGAATTTAAATGATAAAAATAAATTTTTTTAAAATTATATCAATATAATTAAATACTTATTTATTACTGGTGTTTGCATATGTAATATTTTATATATGCTGGAACCTGATATATATATATATTATACCAAATCGGCAAATCAGTGTATATTTTTAATAGTTATAATAATATAAAACATGTTTAAAATTATTCAAGATATAAATTTAGGGCTAAATAATTTTGTTATTCATTTTTGTTATCATGAATCACCTGACTAGGCTTAGAAGCCATTTGTCTCTAAAATTACTATGAAAAATAAATTATAATTAGTTGATTTTATTATTATTTGATACATTATATTTATTTTGTAGCTATGTATATTATAAATTATTTTAATAACTGTTCTGGAAAAATGTTTTCCCACTTGGTATGTTGTAATGTATATTACCTCTGTTGAATGTTGATTGTTATAACTGTACTTTTATGTATTACAAAAAAAAAAAAAATGTAAAATAGTTTTTAAATGTTTTAACTTTGTACAATAAAAGGTGTTGTTAAAGGAAGAAAACAATTTATTTTATGAAGATTATTACAAAGTGTTTTATTAAAATGTGTATCTGGTATCTCAACAGTTACTTCAAAAATAACAAATTTCTAAAAAATATAAATGGGAATATGATTTTTGCAAGTAAGAAAAAACTTAATTTTATTATACTTACATAAGAACAAAAAAGACACTAAATAACTATTTAGGAGTCGAGAACTAATATAACTAAATGTTCACAAGGTTAACTTATAAGTAAGTTAGTAACTAATACTTAGGTAAGTTATTTTTATTATAATATAATAACGAGGAGACGGTGAGCCACATACTTGATTTTAAAGTTTAAATGTTTGTAAAGGTATTAATATAATTAAAATAAGGTCATTAAATGGTTTGACTTCCTAACAAAGTAAGAAATTTAAAAACATAATATTTTTAATTTTATAATTTCACTATATAACAGGATTTAAAAATGAAATGTATATTGTATATGATTTACTCATTTAATACAAAAGAAAATAATTGAGTTTATTACAAAATTAACTTACTCAGTAATTAATTTTAATAATAACATTTTTTCAAACAAATATTTAATTTATTTCAAACAGTTAAACATAACAATGATAAACAGAAGCGTAGCCAGGATTTTTTAAAGGGGGTGTTTAATATTTAAACACAATTTAGGTGGGGGGAAGCTGTTCACACGTCTAATATATTTTTTAATTATACGATTGAAAGAGATATATAAACACCATAGGCACAACTAGGGACATTTTTCTGGGAGGGCTAAAATTGTATTAGGAGCACAGACCCTGATAATTGTTATTTAAAACTAAAATATGATGAAAAAACTACTTGGGGGGCAATGAATAAAACTAGACTTAGCTTCTTCCCCAAGCTACCCCCCTAATTGCGCCTATACTAAACACCCCCTGGCTACTTGTCTGATGACATACAAAACATAAATAACAAATATCTTTTAGTTTAAAAATAATATAATCAGTCTTGGCAACGTTGCCATAATATATTTTTACTCATCAATAAGTTATAAATTTTTCTTGTTTTGTTAACATCAATTTTAACCAAACTTCTTGCAGTTTTTAAAATTATACCTTTTGATTTTTCACACTCGTTTATAAGTAATTCCTTAAATTTCAAATATGATTCAGGTAACATTTTAATCTGAGCACAAAGTTCCCTCTCATCATCATCAAGTTTTTGAAAACCTGGAAGATTACAAACATTCATACGAGGCTTGGAGTTTTCAATAATTCTTGATGTTGATGATCCCAAAGGCCTTATTTTTAAATATTCTTCTCTTTTGGCACTTAATTCATTATAAATATTTATTTGAGCCATTTTAGTTAAACCATTTTTACGATAAACAATGAGCTTATGAATTTTAGCTAACAATTCATGTTCTTGTTTAAGATTGGTTATAAGTAAATCAAAAGCCAGTGGTTTTATTAGGTGCAAATAACGAATTAACCTTCGCATCATTTCTGGACCAATTATCATCTGAAATTAAGTTAGATTTCTTAAAAAAAACTTCAATAAAAAATGAGAAATTATTGTCTATACCTCCATAGACTTAATCCATAACTGGTGTTTATTAAATGCAACAAGTCCATAGTCTTTAACAATTTGTCTTCTTCTATATCGTTCTTGCAGCCTCTCATTAAAAATGTCACAAATAGTTGTATTCAGCCTTTTGTAAAATTCATTTGATTCTAAAATGGTTTTAGATTTTTGATCAATCCATGTAGGTTCATCTAATAATTGTAAAATGCATTCAGCTTGGTTATCATATTCTTCTTCAAATGATCCACGTGCTGGTTGATAGCCAGCTAAACGAATAGCTAATTCATATTGATGATATGATTCTAAAAAATAAAACGGAAATTTAAATGGAGTTACCAAATTAATGATGACAAAATCAGTACTTATTTAATGGAAAAACAGTGAAAGGACAAAAACTATAAATTAAGGTTCAATTTTCATGTGCCAAATAATAATACTTACTGGTTTAAAACTAAATAAATACCTTCTAAATCCAATGAATCACCAATAGTGTTTGGCATATTCACATCATCAAATCTATCAAATCTAAATGCATTTATGTTCACACATTCTAGACCTTTAATTTTTGGATAAAGTACATAATTATCAAAGTAATGGCATTCACATTCTTTTGGTGTTCTACCTAATTTTGTAGCAACTTTTTCCCAAGACAAGGTATTCATGTATGTGTCAAGTAATGTGATTTCTTCATGAGCTGCCCACAAGTAGTCGCCAATGTCGATGGCATTACACAGAACTTGATATGGATCTGTGTTCTTATGAACATTATCTCCGGTACCGGCTGCAAAACATTGAAGGCAAAGACTAACACCCAAATCGGCACAGGTAGCATTCGCACATTTAATGAACGTATGCTCGAGCCAGAGGTCTGTAAAGCAAAACCTGCAGCACAATTTCCTCTTTTTTGTGAACATTTTACAGTGGCGGTGATACTATTGATATCAATTATGGCATCGGTACAGGCAATTTACAGAAATGTAAAACGTGTAAGTTATAACATGGCATGCATTTTCGAGAATATGAAGTGACTACAAATTACAATAAATCACAAGAAGCAAAACCTAAAACAATTATAGTTATTGACAATATTGTAATATTCGTTTGAAAATAAATTTTGCGGCAGATAACGTGTTGATACTTGATGATACCACGGACTAAAATGATACTAGATAACGTTAATAATGATAAAATGGCGTGATAAGGATTTAACCTCAAAAACATGATATTCATCGAATCGATTCATACTTCAGTAGGTAAATTGTTTATGCGCGCTCGTGGATTTTACCGCGCTTTTCTGAAATCTCAGTAATAAGGAAATTAAAATTTTATTTTAAGTTTTTTTTTTTAACTTCTTCCTTCGCTGGAACTTTTAATCAAACATCACAAAATCGCACAATTTGAGTTAGTCCAATTTTGAAAGAGTTGATGAAACAATTCGAGGTTTCGTTGTTTCGTAACACAAAAACGTAGGTACGTATGGAAAGAAAAACCAGTATTTTATCATACCCTCAATACGGAAGTTGGCCATCTAAAAAACATTATTCAAGCAGGATGAATTACAAATTTTGGCGCTTAACTGTAGCTTAATAATTTTTTTACATTATTATACCAAAGATTGACGGAAACGATATTTTTCACTAGCATATAGGATTAATGTCTATATCAATACATCATATAATATACATATATCACTCGTGGTTATTATAATAAGATCCAAAAGATACCTGTATTCATGTGTATCGCATTTTGATATTCCAAGTTTAAGTTCTATAGAGACTTTTGGCCGCCAAAACAAAACGATGTGTTATAGGTACTTAGGTTAGTTTGGATTTGGACCTGCAACTTTGGAGTTTTTTCCATCATTAAGGACGACAATGGACAATGAGTACTAGAGTATGATCGCCCGAACACGATCAAATATTACTTGAAACACCTATAAGAAACAGCAAGTCTGCAAAAATAACACTTATTTCGATGTAGACGGTAATATTATAGTCTGATAAACTTATAATAATGGTGAAAGTGAGTTGTTGAAGCGCGCGTGTTTTCCCCGTAATGTTCGGTTGTTGAGTAAGGGGGGGAAATTTTTGCACCACGTGAAATCAACGGGGGGTTCCGAAAATTTGTTTTCGCAGTTTTTTTTTTGTCGGGGGGAATTTTTTTCTCCTCCCGGGGCGCTTATACGATTTTTCCCGCCCGTTCGCGAACGCCGCCAAACATTCGTTATCACTTGGATGCCAAGCGAGCAGCTTGATAACGTGCGTCGTCCCGTCGACATTTTTGTGGTGTTACTATTATTCTATACCTAACAATAAGACCCGTCTGGTCGGAAGTGTTCATCAGCCATTTCGTCCTTCACCCCTAAGCCCGTTCTCGCCATCCGCGTTCTCACTGCGCCGCTTCAAAGGCCGCCGGGCGGTGGTACGTTATGTCTTCGTCGTCCTCTACATCTTCCTCGTACGTGGTCGTCAAACAGGAGAACGAATCTGGCAGTCAAGCAGTTCCTGTAGTCAACATGGCCCCCATACCAGCCTAGTAAGTATACTCGCCCGCGCGTCCGCTTGTAGAGTCTTGGATTAGGTTAGGGCCAGAAAGGTCTTGGTACCCGCGCAAATCGGGCTCGCTGGCCATGCGCCCCCAGAGATCCACGCTTTGGTGGTCACTTTGGTGCCAACTTTTTGGATCGAACGATTAGTTTTTGACACGACTCCAGTTGAGAGTTTTGGCGGGTTTGAGAATTTAGCCATAGACATTTTCAGTGCCGGAATACTATGAGGTTTACATCAGGTCCCGTTTGATGGACAAACATATTGTACGCCCACATACTAAACTACTTCATGTTCAAAAACCAATAGTAGGCAGAGGATTTCATCTTTTTTTTAAATCTGACCCTTATAACTTAAGAATTTATGCCCCTGAACATGAATGTGCCAGGGGCCGATCATGAGCTTGACCGACACTGACTGAAGGTACTTGATATCTTTTAACATTTACAGCATAAGTTTTCTTTGAAAAACCTAAGGATTGATTTAGTCTTAACTGTAAGAATATCTAAAATGAGATGTTAAAATAAAAAATATGCGATTGAAGTGTTTTTTTCTTACATGCTTTCAGGTTTCAAAGGACCTGCTTTGTCATTTTTGCACTTACACTTGTATTTACTAAGTTTAGCTTTCAAAAAAATATTAAATTTAATTGTTAGTTGTTTATTGTAGCTACGTATTATAAAGAACTTTTCAAATTTTATAAGAGAAAAGTAGTAGGAAAATCATTCCGTTATCTTGCCATCCATAACAAATTTTATCTAAAGACATTCAAAAGTTTCTGTATATGTATTTTTTTTTACTAATGATTGTAAATAATATCTAAATTAAAAATAATTTATAAATTATAAAATTCTAGGAAGTTTCTTCTGATTCACCTCAATTGTTAATATTTTTTACTCTTGAACAATCAGAGGTAAAATTTTAGATTTTTATATAAAATCTATGAAGTAAATTTTTACAAATTGAATTTTAAATTACATACTTCTTAAATCAATTAAGTTTTATATTAATAGGTAGTTGATGGATTAAAATTTACACATTTTATCAAATTTATGTACTGTGATAAGTTACATTAATTACCTAATATTTAGTACCAAACTGAAATTAAAAATATAGGTATATTAACAATATGTATTTTTTGTTGATTAGCCAATGCATCTACCTTAATAAAGAATTTTTTTCCTTATTTAATTATGTTTGAAATATAAGATAGATAACTAACTAGTTTTAGAAATTGGTATATCAAATTAAATTTTATTGTTGGTTTATTAATAATTATTGTTAATTACATTTTAAAATTGTCTATAAATAAATATTATATTTATACTAAATTTCCATTTTATATTTTAAATTAACTTTGATATTACATTTTTCAGAAAATTGTCCTTTAATATCTGTGTAAATCTGAATTTGAATATCCTTTGTTTTCCATGTGTATGCAATATACCTCGCAATATACATACTTCGGGTGGTTCTTACAATGTCCAGTTAAGTGTCAGTTAACGCGAACCAGTTGATTATAAATTTTATTACCAGTCAAATTCTGCCTGTTAAGTGTCTGTTATCTTTAAATGGACGTTGTAAGAATGGCCATTAATGTATGATTTTTTTACCTATGTAAAATTAGAGAAAAGGATTCTAATTGTATGTCATTACCATCTGAGTTTAGGATTTACAAATAAAATTATAAAAATAGTAGTTAAAAAATGTAATGGATGCTGGGCACTAACTAGTTAGGAAATTAGAACTTAACTAGTTGCTTTGTTCAGAAGCTTGTTAAAGTAATTCAAGAAGTTGTATTTCTCCTGTAAATATTGAGTAACTTAACTAGTCATTTTTTTGAAACAGCATAAAGTTACTCAAATTTTTTTTTTAAATTAACTTCTTAAAAAATGTACACAATCCCAAAGTTCAAAACTTAATCAATCAATTTATAAATCAATAAATTAGTTTAGTATCAAAAAAATTTAAATATTTACAATAATTTAATTCTGGTTGTATTAATAATATATAAAGGTAAATTGCACACCTTTTTTCTAACTTTATATTAACTTAATTGATGTTTTAATTGACTAACTTATATAACAAAGTTAATATACAAAATGTTATAGAAAGGTTAACAAATGAAAAAAAAAAAAGAGTTCTAATTATTATTTTTTAACTTTTATGTCATTAACAGATGCTTGTGCTACGTGTTCCAATAGTATAACATTTTATTTTTAATTTTGATCACTAAACAAAAAAATTGAAGTCTCATATAATTTTTTTTTAAATATCCAATTTATAAAATAACTGGTTCCTAAAAATTTTGATTGTAAAAACATTTACTTTAGTTTAGTAGTTTACTTTTTACAATTTTTCTATATCTCATCATTTTTGTTCAGTAAAGTTGATTCAGTCTTAAAAAAATAATTAAATGCCCAAAATAAAAACTTTTTCAAAAAAAAATTATGAGAATTTTTATATAGTTACTTGTTAAAACCTGAATATTTTTTTAAAAAGTTAACTACCTACTTTTCAAATTTAAGAGTGTAAGGCTTTAAAACATTTTGGCATTTAAAAAAAATTCATATCAGAATTAATTTTTTTATTTTCAATATTAAAAAAAAAAAATATATTACACTATCAGTGTTAGTCAATTTAATTTTAAAAAATTCGAAAATATTGTTTACAACAAAAGTTATTTCATTTGTCAGGTCTTTCTATTACACCTTATATTTCTTATTTAATACATAATTTGTTTGCTTGTATTTTTTTAAATATTGTAACTTTAAATAGTTAGAAATTATCAGTAACTTTTCATAAGCTTTTTTAAAATAGCCCTAAAAATGTAGTTGAAATACATAAAATAAACACAGAAAGCTATCTCAAAAATGATAATTCTATACTCACCCTTATTCTCCCACAAAAAATTTAATTAAGGGAGACCTTAAAAACATCCATGTTATTTCTCTTATATTACAAAATATAGGGCTGTAGATTTGTAAAAAATTGTATTTTTTTTAGCTTATTGCAAAAAAATTTTCTGTAACAATATGAATTCAATTTTGATACCTTTTTGCATGTTTTGATTTTTGAGTTAATTTTTTCGCCATTTTATTTTGCATTGTGAATTTTTTCTTACAATTTTTGCAAGTTAACAATTTTCATACATTTTATGAATTATATTATATTTTATAATTATATAACCTACCTAAATATTTTTTGAAACTATTACAATAAAATATTTTGATAAAAATACATTCTATAAAATTTCATTATTCTTATTACACACTAGCTGAAGTGATTTCGGCAATTACATGGTTGTGTCCACTAAATCAAAGGATTTTTTTTTTTAAATCTTAAACTGCATTATTAAAATATATTGACAGTAGTATGTGTATGTTTAAATTTTAATAAGTTTCCATATTTATAAAGTTGATATTTGTTTAGATACAAGATGTATCTAACAGAATAAACTGACAAATTGAATAACTTTTGTTCTAATCAATATTTAAAAATACATTTTTACATAATTCATAGAAACTTGTGCTACAAGTACAGTATAAAATTGCTTATTTTTGGAAAAAATTAAGTTAGCAAATCTAATTTTGAGAAAAATGTTTTTTAAGTCAAGTTG